TATATATATATATATATATATATATATATATATATATATATATATATATATATATTTGAAAAGCTAAGGGAAACCGGTTAAAGTAAAAAAAAAAAAATTCAAAAGGAAAATAAATTATTTTTCTAAGAAAAAACACTGAAAATCCAATTGTAAGGAAACAAAGTTTTAAAACGTTTTTATTAAAAATTCATATATTATAAATAAATATCACTATATTAAATATTAGGTACCTTTTCTATCCAATCCTCGTTTTAGTACATATATATATATATATATATATATATATATATATATATATATATATATATATATATATATATAAAAGAATCATGTTTCACTTTTTTGTTAATCTTGTATAATAATTTTCTCTTATTTAAAGGACAAAACAGGTATATATATACTCATACCAACAAAAAAAAAAAACTCGTTTTTTTATTTTTATATGATGTTAGATCAATAAGTTTGTAGCCCCCAAACGTTTGATCAATAAGTTTGTATAACAGGAGTTATATTTTTCTATATAACTCCTGTTGGAGGACGCGTATTTTTCTTGCAAGATTTCTCGAATATTCAGGCCAGTAGATGTGGTTGGATAAAAAATACTGTTTAATAAAAAAAAAAACAGAGCTTCTACTGGTATATGAGTATCCATATAAAATAACGTTGAAACAAAATAAATTATAAATAATAATAATAATATATATATATATATATATACGTGTGTGGCGGTGAAGTGTAAAATTTCTCACGACCGTATTAATATGAAAAGAAATATATATATATATATATATATATATATATATATATATATATATATATATAGGGGGGTGAGGGTTTGTGTGCACGTATCAAGGTCTGCCCACTTGTATACAAATGCAGCAGGTATAATTTGTAGCCATATAGCAGTATCATCATTTATGTCCTGTGGGTGCTAATCATATTCAAATATCGTCCATTTGCACTACACATGTTGAAATCTAATATGTGAGTAGTTAGAATGCTTCAATACGACCATTTTTGTTTTCAGACACTTTTGAAAATTGTTTTCCTTGACAAGATTATTCCGTATGCAAATCTATGTAAGACAAACTGTTGAATTAAAGATATTCATTTCATGTATTATATTAACACATTCATACACGCATATATATATATATATATATATATATATATATATATGCACTCACTAACAGGCATGGATACATATGTTAGTGCGTGCATATATATATATATATATATATATATATATATATATATATATATATATGCACACACTAACAGGCATATAAATATATATTAGTTAGTGTTTGCATTATATATATATATATATATATATATATATATATATATATATATATATATATATATATATATATATATATATAATGGCTATAACGCTAATATAGCATGGTTATAATTTTATAACATTGGAATCATAATCACGATTCAATTCATCAGACATACAAATTCAAAAAAGAAATCGGAAAATATTTTACTCTGTCCTGGACATTGAGTTCTACTTGAATTCTGTCTTCTTGAAAATTTATGCATATATATATATATATATATATATATATATATATATATATATATATATATATATATCCAGTAGCGAGCATAAAGGTCAGAACGATGTTAAGAAAATGTCTTAATGTGAAATAACTTTTTTATTTTAAAGCTTCATAGAACAATTTATGAAGGAAAAATAAGGATATAAAGGTAAATTATATAATTCCAAAATATAAAGATCAATAAACTTATTTTGATAAAGTTATAAGAATAATCATATAACATTCGAAGAAATACAAGATCAAAAACATCAGAACGATTAACAATAGCATACTATTATAATGGATACAACATATCCAAATGAAAATAGCATTCATAATTCATTAGTACTTGATGTATAGACCTTTACCCTTCAATAACAGCTTGACATCTTTTGCTACATGAGCGAATTAATGTCTTGCATTCATTAACGGATATTTTCTTCCATTCTCCTTTCAAATTAGTCCATAGTTCTCCGACGTTTGTTGGATTCTTTTCCTTAGCTCTTTCATTTAGTTACTTCCAAACATTCTCAATAGGTTTCATGTCTGGGCTTTGAGCAGGCCACTCCATAACAGTAACATCCTTTTAAGAAAGAAATGTCTTAACAGACTTCGCTGTGTGACATGATGCGTTATCTTGCATCAATACAGCTGATTGATTATTTGCAGTTCTCAAATTAAGTACAAAATGTTTCTTCAATATCTCTTTGTATACAGTTGCGTTAATTTTACCGTGTAGCCTAACAAGAGGTCCCGTACCAGCATCTGAAATGAGGCCAAACACCATCACACTTCCTCCTCCAAATTTAACGCTGCTTTTAGTGCACTGAAGCAAATATCGTTCCTTAGGACTGCGCCGAACGAACCTTCTCCCTTCACAAACCTAACAGGTTAAACTTTGACTCAAATGAACACAATTCCATCGTTCTTCTGTCCATATGACGTGTTCTGTGGCAAATTTCAATCGGTTCATTTGATTCTTTTTAGAAATGTAAGGCTTCGTAGAGGCTACTCAACTGTTCAGATTTATTTCATTAAGTCTTCGGGAAATAGTGTGCCTTGACATTTTAATGCCAAAGTTATCATTAGCTCTTTTAGAGATAGCGGTTGCTGTCGCAAATCGATCCATTTTTTGATTCATTACCAATCCATCTGTCTTCCCTTGCAGTAGTTTCCCTAAGCCTGCCAGGTGGTTTCTTGGCTTCACATGACCGAGTTTTCAATAATACAAAATAATTATTAAATTTTATGGATTTATTTAATCGTTCTGATGTTTTTGATCATCTATTTTTTTCGAATGTTATATAACTATTCTTATAACTTTATCAAAATAAGTTTCTTGATCTTTATATTTTGGAATTATAGAATTTACCTTTCTATCCTTATTTTTCCTTCATAAATTGTTCTATAAAAGTTTTAAAATAAAAAGTTATTTCACATTTAGACTATTTCTTAACATCATTCTGATCTTTATGCTCGCTACTATATATATATATATATATATATACACACATTGACCACTGATATTATTAATATATATATATATATATATATATATATATATATATATATATATTAGTCGATGAGTAAAGACTGAGATGGACTTTCTCAAACCAAATGTGAGGATTTTATTTTACAACACCTCTTTATAAATAAAAGTAAAATTGTTGTCAGTTTTAAAAAAAAATTACACATACGAGACGCTTATAAAGATTCATCGGGCTAAATGAAAGTTATACAGACTTTAACTTTGCTTAAATTTTATCTCTTTTTCAAATTTTATCCATGAGAAAACGCCTGTTTATTGAAAAAAATAAATCCTCTCTTGTAGATTGCATGAAATTTTAAAAGTGAAATATTTTTTCTTACCCTATGTAAGGGTTTCTAATGAAATTATTTCTAATGCAAAAATTTTTCTCGTAATGATTTAGGACCATTCACGAGTTATAAAATATCCACCCCTCCTTTTTTTCATTTCCGTTCAAGTCGTTCAAAGATCGCAAGCGTAAAACTCGAGTTACGTCTAGAACCATCTTTTCATAAGAAGTTAACGTTGTTAAGTGTTTTGTTTTGCTCGGTCGAGGCAAATTGGACTTCGAGCACTTTACTGAGTAAATAAATTTGCATTTAGGCCTTTTTTATTATTTGCAGTATTTTCGGTTTTATTCAAGACTTTATCTGGATAAGAGTTTTGGGTTTCGGCAAGTTGTCGGTTGGTTGCACTAACGGGTTTTGTTTTTCTTTTTTATATATATATATATATATATATATATATATAAAAGAGAAAAAGAATGTGTGAGACATGTCGGTCAATTTTCCCAGGTGTTTGCATCAAATCCTAACAACTGGTAATCCTTTTCTTATTTATATTCAATGCCTTTGCTGTAGGCAAGTCAATGACACTGAATTTACACTGAATACATAATATCACTCATTGTCAGTAAATCAGCGATGAATAAACTCAAACCTTGCCGACATAAAAATAAAGTGTATAATAGTGTGTAAAATAATAAAAAAACAAAAAAAACTTCAAATTCTCGAAGCCCTCTATATAAGGGGCAAACAACTGACACTAAATAAGGTTAGTTGTTAGTTATGAATATAGAAACAATTTATTAAAATGTTTATAATCGTAATGTTTTTGAAAATGTTTTTGAATAAAACATTACAATCATACAGATTAAGTTACCTTCCTTAGATCAAAAACAAAAAAAAAAACTCTATAACTAGAACAGTTAATTTTAAAACTATTATAAAAGATCACTTTTATGCGTGTTTACAAAAAAAAATCAGTTACATTAATTTTTGTCTTAGCTGAAAATGATCTCGTATGAGATTGAAAGTACTTGGGAAAATAAAAATAAAAGAAACGAGAAAGAAATACTAAGCCTTCCTTAATGAATCTAACATCAGCATTAAGAAGTCGAGAAGAGAATTTGAGAGCATCACAATAAAAATAGACATAATTTACAGATTATTCAACCAAACATGCTTGAACATATATGTGTGTGTGCGCGTACGTGTGTGCGTTTGTGTGCCCGCGTGTGTGTGTGTATGAGGGAGAGAGAGAGAAAGTGAGAGTTCTTGAAATTGTTTATTTCATCTAATTTGCCCAATTTTTCTTTTGCATATATATATATACTAGCCTCTGCAGTGTCCCTTGTTGCTGTTCAGAGTTCTTTGTCAGAGGTCGGGACATACATAATAACATGCAAATTGAAAAACTTCTAAGTTTACATTTTATGAAGAAATAAGAAGTAACGTAAGCATAATCACATTTCTTATGAGTGCGACGACGACTGTTATTCAGCACTAAACAAAGAAAGAAACAACAAAAGTGATAATCATAATGAACGAATAAAAAACATCTTTCGTGCGTGGAGTCGTTCTTATCTTTTGCTTTTCTGCTTCAATTATTTCCAACACGTCCGGTAACCACTTCCTTAATATTTATTCAAGACAAGTCTGACCATACGCATAGATAGATAGATAGATAGATAGATAGATAGATAGATAGATAAAGTGGACAATGAGGCTGGTGCCAACGCTGAGTGGTGATTGTCTGTTTCATGCTTGAACGCAAGCTTCTGATCATATCTGTGTGTGCGCGCTCACACGTGTGTGTGCATATGTATGTAAAATTACGCATTTCTGTATACATAAGAAAATGAATATACTAACCAAATAAATAGATAGATAGATACGAATACACAGATAGATAGATAGATAGATAGATAGATAGATAGATAGATAGATAGATAGATAGATAGATACGAAACTGAGGTAAACAGATAGATACATACGAACAGACTGAAATAGATAGATAGATAGATAGATAGATAGATAGATAGATAGATAGATAGATATTTGACAAATAGAAATCGTTTCATTGAAACTAGAATTGTTTCGCGTTTCTAGACTTCATCAGATCCGAAACGAAAGAAAGAAATTTAATTTGATGAAACCTAGAAAGGCGAAACCCGTAATCAAATTTAGTTTCAATGAAACGTTTTCCATTTGTCAAATTTCTTAAAACCTTTATCGGGATTCTATATCCTATTTTCAACACACACACGCTTATATATATATATATATATATATATATATATATATGTGTGTGTGTGTGTGTGTGTGTGTGTGTGTGTGTGTATGTGTGTGTGTATTTAAACAAGTTTTTTGTTGTACAGAACTTAATATTAGCAAGGAATAAGCGTAATTTAAAAGATATATCGGTGTAAATTTAATAGCTAAAAAAAACAACAACATTTTTTTAGCTATTAAATTTATACTTTTTACATTACGTACGCTTATTCCTTGCTAATATATATATATATATATATGTGTGTGTGTGTGTGTGTGTGTGTTTGTGTGTGTGTCTGTGTGTGTGTCTGTGTGTGTGTGTGTGTAACGAATGCACGGCCGCAATTTTCGACGGATTTGTACCAAAGTTTACATGCACATGCTCCAAGTTAGCGAAAAGGCCAAGACCGACTTTGCATTTCCCAACTCCCATCGATAGTGAAAATAATCGATTTTTTTCATGCTTCTACGGTAGTTTTCATGTAGTTTGCTGCCATTTTCTATTGGCCAGAGTGAGAGCCTATAGCTGGCTGTCACGAATAGGCAGGAAGATTCTATTGGCCAGCGTGAGAGCCAACAGCTGACTGACACAAATGTTAACTAGCATGGTAGCATGAAAAAAAAATCGATAGCTGCATTCGTCACAAGTGGCAAAAATTTAAATCTGCATGGCACTTTACTCCAATTGGCTCATTCGCTTGCTCAAACTCAACGTTGATTCTGATTCCGCAGAACTGGGTTGGGTGTGAAAAAGTATTTGTTGTTAACATTCATTTTTTCATTCAGTTTTTCCAGTTACGAGTCCTTTTTTAAAGCTGATCGTTTTGTGTTCATTTTGTTTAGTTCTTTTTTCGTAACGGATTTAATGTTTAGTATAGAGCTTAGAAAAAATTCGCAGTGTGAGATAGGCAAGAAATAAGGCACGTAGCAACATCAGCACGGCAAAGGGCACTCCTTTAAAGGCAAGAAGGGCAAAAATATTGCCGTTTGAGTCGTACGATTTTTGAATCAAGCACGGGCAACGCCGGGCCATGCTGCTAGTATATATATATATATATATATATATATATATATATATATATATATATAATCGAGCGAGTTCACCCCATGCAATGCAGTAAACCAACTGTGACACAAGGGGTTACTGGCTATGGAAGAGAAACAGAATCATTACTAAGGAAAGAGAAGAAAAAAAATCCGGAGGTCATTGACATTGCATTTAAATTTTGAGAGATTAAAGTTGGCTGGAAAGCATGGAGCCTGAAGAGAATTCCACGGGTGAGAAGTGCGAGAAAAGAGCCCGTTAGCATAGAAGTTACGGTTACATCTAGCCAAATATATTAAATTGATGAGACCCAGTCGCCAATCAAGTACTGCGCTTAAATTCAAAGAGTCTAGCCACCATCGCGTGGGGCTCATTCAAACAATTACCATGGAAGTATTTATAGAAAAGGCACAGGGAGGCAAGCTTACAGCCATTGAAAAAGTGACTGACGAGAACCAATTATATTGCTGGTTGTTCTTTAGATGTTATCAAGGAGCTACAGATATATAGCAGGAGCAACAGACCATGTACGGCAGCAATATTCTAAGCCTGGGGAATGGTAGACTTATAGATATGTAAGATAGATCCGGAGAGAAACACACACGCACACACACACATACATTCACACACACACACACACACACATATATATATATATATATATATATATATATATATATATATATATATATATATATATACGCATATGTATATGTAAATGTAATGTTCTTTTCCAAGTTCTATATATATAGAATATAATATATTATATATTATATAATATAATTATTATTATAATATTATTATATATTATATAATATATAGAATATAATATATTATATGTTATATAATATATATATAATATATTCTATATATATATATATATATATATATATATATATATATATATATATATATATATATGTGTGGTCTGCCGATTTGTACACAAATGCTGCCGGTATAGTTTACTCTTCTGTTGTTTGAGTTATTTCCAGATTGTCGGGTACCTACATCCTTGATATTTGTTGCAGAACTGTCGTTTCATCGTTTGTGTTAAACCATAACACAATAAGTATCGTTTAAAGTTGTTTATTCGTTATCATCAATTTCAGTTTCTTAACTTCAACAATGTGACACCGAAATCCGAAGACGCATTGGAATAGCGAACTGTGGCACCTTGCATTATTAGAAAAAAGAAATATTCATAGAAATATGATTTAATTTTTTTATTCGGTTTATTAACCAGTTGTTAGTTTTTTAGACGAAGAATAATTGAGTTTTGAGAATAATTCTCTAATTGTATTAGGCGATCCTAAGGGAAGAAAGAAAAGAAGGGGAAAAGAAAAAGAAAGAGAGGAAAAGGGAGAAAGAGAATGAGTAATGCAAAAAGGCCGGTCATTAGCGAAAACAGGTGTCAAAAAAAAAAAAAAAGGTATCTAGGCCAACGTGCCTGACCGAATTTTAAAAAGACAATGGGAATTGTTATTTGGGAGAATAGAATTAAAAAGAAAGAAAGAAAACAGGCTTGGTAAAAGTGTATGAACATATAGGCGATTGATAAAAATGTCGGTCGAAGCATCTGGCCTACTTTTGTGTAGAAGACTCATTATCAATTTGGAGAAATGGGATTTTTTAGAACAATGGAAACGAAATATTAATCGGGGAAGGGTGTCTTTTGGGATGAGGAGGTGACCGCTGGACTTGTATACAGATTCTGACCCGTTAAAAATCAGAACTCCCACGATGATGAAGTGAAGACATTTTCAATTCAGATAATTAAGATTTTTGACCATCAGGTCTGAGCACAAAACAAAGAGGTGAAAAACGATTGTCTTGGCTCACAGATAGCGCCAATATTCTTCCTGAAGTCACATCTAATTAGCGGCAGGCTGTTTTGACAAAGACCAGGAAGGTGAGAAAGGCCGATATTGTCATTTTTCGCACGTGCGAAAAAGGCCAAATTAGATTTTGTTTTTTTAGCAAGGTGTCTATTTCCCAGAACAAAAGCCGGGATAAGCCACGCCCGATTGGAGACGTCACACGCCCAACCAGAATCTCATTGGCCGAAAGTCACGTGATATGCGAGAAGAGGAGAAAGGACGCTCGATCAAGACCCATTGGTCGAAAACGGTCACCTGACATACGAGAGACCGGGAGAGATGGGTATGCGCCTCCCCATCAGAGGCACTGTGAGAAAGTAGGGGTGAAAATAAGAGCGATAATGGGAAATCAGAAGTAGTGCGACTTTTGGAATTATCGAGAAAACCCTGACGCCGACAGACCCACCCCAGTTTGTTGCGGCGTCAATAAAAGCAGAACCCCAATCGACAAAAATCAGTTCAGCTCCGGACGGCAGCGAGAAGAGATCACCTCGGACGACAGAGAGAGTAGTTCAGCCCCGGACGGCAGCGAGAAGAGATCACCTCGGACGACAGAGAGAGTAGTTCAGCCCCGGACGGCAGCGAGAAGAGATCACCTCGGACGACAGAGAGCTCAGACCACCTCAGACGACAGAGAGCTCAGATCACCTCAGACGACAGAGAGCTCAGATCACCTCAGACGGCAGAGAGAAGAGTTGCAGGCCAGACAGGCAGTAAAGTTGCAGGCCAAACAAGCAAATCAGTTCAACCTCAGTCGACAGAAAAGAGTTGCAGGACGGAAGAAGAAGAAGTTGAAATCAAACCAAGCCCAAGAACAGAAATTCGACCAAACCAAATCGAAGTGAAGAAATACGTCCAACTCAAGCCGAAGAGAAGAATCAGCTGTGAACGACTGGGAGAGATTAGCCCCAGTGTCGAACTAGACCACACTCCGACATACACAATTCTGAAGAGTAGACAATTCGAAGTCTTTAAGTTGTATGATAGGAGCTTGTTGCCACAGTCCACAAAGCGGGTCGGGAAGTAAGAATAATTTTTATGTAACGAACATTAGATATAAAAGGTTGTTACCCTTTTTTATCAGTAATTTTTTTGTCTCGTGAGTTTTTTTCTTTTACTTGTGTTTTGCCCCGTCGTCGGACTCAACTTGCATACGGCCCCAATCCCTGTTTGATCCCGTCTGTCTAAGATCTAATCACAACGTGGGTAGACAGACCGGAGGTCAGTACAGTTACCCTAGTAACCAGGTGTTGGAAGCGGGTTGAGAAAGGCGAGGCTGGTAATCATCTAACCAAGGGGTTGGAACGGCACGCTTGGAACAGCGAAGAACGACCAGGAGGAGCGACGTCACAGTTGGCGCCGTAACCAAAGGTTTCGACCCTGGACCAGGTGTCACCGTCACAGAACGATGCCTTCCAGAAACTAAGCAAAATATTAAGAAACAGGAAAATTTCGTTGATACGAAAGTACTAAACTTCGTATATTTGAATGATGGACAATTCCTCACAGGTGATGAGGTTACTTTAAACAACAGAGGTGTGGTTCTGAATGAAAAAATTGAAAATATCCTATGTAACGCGTTTCATCCTTCAAGAGGGCTTCTTCAGACTGAACACCTCATTTTTTATTTAAATACTTACGTTTAGTGTGATATATAGAAATTATATATCATATTCTATCAGATGTAGTTCTACAAAAATAACATGGACGGAACATGTGTGCAACGAGGAAGTTTTAAAGGAAATGTGGATGAAAGAGACAACTTTGCTTAAAATCAGAAAGAGACAGTTGAAATTTCTGGGACACATTATGTAATTTTGACACTCATAGGAGATATGGAAGGCAATAGGGGCGGAGTGAAAGAGAGAGTAATATACCTAATGAGTTTGTGTA